CAAATATGATCCATAGTTTTGACATGTCTAAAATATTTATCTAGTGAGTTACATACACGGAGATATTTTAATAATATTTCTTCATCAGAAGTGGTAACTAAATAGCTTAGGAATATATGAAAAGCTGTCCAATAGAGAGAAAAATGATCTTAGATGTACAAACTTTTGAACCAAGGTAGGTGTCAGGAAAGCCAGGAAGATTTCCACAAGATTATTCACTGCGGACATACATACAGGGTGTTAATAAAGTCCGATCCCATTTTTCCTGTAAAAAAGTGAAGGCTAGTATAAAAAAAAACTACCCGTGATACTTACAAAAAATGTTCGACATATTTACCTTAGTATTTGGTCTTGTTACCATTTACTTTAACCATGCCCTCAACTCTTTGTTTAAGGCTCTGTGCTAATTTTTCCAATGTGCCTCTGGAAATCGAATTCCATACATCTTGAACTTTTTTTTACTAGCTCTTCCCTCGTCCGGGGTTGTGGCTCTTTGTATACATTTTCCTTAAGTATGGACCACTGGTTCTTCAGGGGATTCAAATCTGGGCCGTTAGCGGCCCACACCCCCTTGCTCCAGACCGTTGAAACTTGCGTCTTGATGAGACTCAAACTCGCTTTTGCTGTATGGGCTATAGCACCATCCTGCATGAAAACTATTTTTCTTTCATTCGGAAATATTTCCTTGTTTCCCATGCTATCGAAATAGATAGGTAATATTTTTTCCATATAATGCTTTGCATTGACTGATTGGCCTTTTGGTATGATATGTAGAGGGGTCACGCAACGTGCACAAAATCCACCCGCTACCATAACTTTAAGCCCGAATTTTGGGATCGCTCTTGATGGTACATCCGATTTGTTTTCTGTCCTGTAACGAACATTTTGTTGGTTCAATTTTGGATATAGTTCAATAATAGATTCGTCAGTCCAAAGGATGTGACTGCGCAATTCTTCACCAAGTCTTTTTTCACTCAAATGGGCACTTTTCTGAAGGAGTTCTTCAAATTTCAGACGGTCATCGATATATTTTTGTGACATGAGAGGTTTTTTTGGTTAGTTTGTAAGCTGTGTGACCCCACTTCGTAGTTTTCACAAATTTTTGCACGGTCACACAGTTAATTTGCTTCTTCTTCTCTTTATAGCGTTTTGAGTCATTTAACTCCCTTGCTCAATTACGTAATGAACTACCGGTTTTCTTGCAAAGTCTGTTTTTAATCATTCTTTTTGTGGTAGGTGACACCTTTCTGGGTCGCCCTGGTCGCTTTTTGTCGTGGACAAAATTTTTATTCTTCCATTTCCAAACAGTTCTGCGGCTGCAGCCCAATTTTTGCACAATTTCTGTAGGTTTAAGCCCCTGCTGATGCAATGTTTGTATCTCAACTCTAAGATGCTCATGACTTACACGTTTAGTTGTTCCTCCCATGGTAAAAATTTGAAATAAATAACTTCACTGGTTCAAAAGTTCCAGCTGAATTTGTAACAACCACGCTCCAAAAAATGCATGGGATCGGACTTTTTTAACACCCTTTACATACGTACGCATATATTCTAACACCTATTAAAGTTTAGTTTTGAAACGTCGCAATAGATTTTGGTTAGTGTACAACCAATCAAAAAAATCTATTTGCTGGTTCGTTACTTGATGTTGTTTTGATATTTTTCTAAAATGGAGAGAAGTGAGACGTGCTATTGGTTGGTGAAATATAAAGCAAGAGAAACAGCAAAAGTGATAAGCACAGTCTTTTGTAAATTTGTAAAATCAAAATTCCTTTCATTATTCCAGACCCCTTGAAAACTACACGAAATGCACTGTTTCTAAATACATAAATGTATTATCATCTTAATTATGGATTGAGCTCAGGTAAATTACTTTACAGGAAACACACAAACAGCTTATTCCCTACATATTCTAATGTTTGTAAAAGTATTAATTGCTAAGCCATTCTAATGAAGACTGACCATCAACAAAAAGAAAGCAATTTCAACATCCTGTTTGACATAACGTGTTATTTATATTAAATACGTACTCAATATGTACATACCCAATCGGCCACATTTTGTCTCAAAGACATCTCAAAGACGAATTTTAAGAGAAATAATATAGTCTTCAGGATGTCCAATTCAAGATGAACTTGAACATTAAGATGTCTTTAGGAGCTACAAATGTCCGCTTTTCAGATGTCGGATTGATATCTTCGCAAGACGTCTTTAAGACTTTCAATCAATGTTGTCTTTAAGAATTCTCAGTATGGTATTGGTCGGCGCATGATTTAATCTTTTGTGCACCAGGTTATTTGCGATACGTAATTTTATTAAACCTGTTGTATTATCTAACTAACTACCAGCTAGCTAATAATACGGAATTAGAATCCTGGTCAAGTGCAATTGTGATGAGAGTGACATAAGTAATACTTGTAATGATTAAATTAAAGTGTTCTCCACCTAGGGATTTTTAATTAATCAAAACTTTTTATTGACCAGAGATGAAATAACGATCCTCTCGGTTCAGACTCTCAACTCGTAGTATAATATTCACAACGGACAATCGTCCACACCTCGTTGCTCTCCACGCTGTCCAACTCTGATTGGAGCAACTTTACACAGAGAAAGTTGGAAGGAGTTTTAAAATACATGGGGAAAAAAGACACATAACTTCTACTTTTAACATCCTCCCACCCCTTTTGTGAACAACAAAAGGAAGAAACTAAGTAATAAATTGATTAAAGTAAAAGAAAACTTATGACTTAAACTTTACATACACATACATATTGCAATTATCATTCATAAAATACTTAAAATATTATGCACCATTATTTATACACTTGTAATTCATTCCAAATCGGGTGGGTTTCTTGACACGTCGTCCCGTTCTGGTGATGACTTCCGGTTCTTGAAACTGAATTTCTTCTTTCTTAATGATGGCTTTCTCCATGATCTCCTTGGGGATTGGGGAAAGTTCCACATGAGATGACACTTCCAGTGGGATTAAGCGTTGGAGGGGCCGCAGGAACTGATTAGTAGCGGTCTTGACTCTCGCCACTCGGATAATGCCGTCTTTTCCGGGATACAGGTAGGTAATTCTACCCATCGGCCACTCCAATCTCTTCTTGTTGTCCACCTTCGACATGGATCGATCTTCTCCCATTCTTCCAATAAAGCTTCCTGCAACTCCTTCACATTCCTTTGCAAAGTCATCCGGTTTCGAATCTGGATATCCAAATGGTTCCAAAGGTGCTCAATGGGATTGAGGTCGGGACTTTGAGCTGGCCAGTCCAAGACCTTCACCTTCTTGTCTTGGAACCACTTTTTAATACACTTCGCCGTGTGTTTCGGGTCGTTATCCTGCTGAAACGTAAAGCGTCGACCCATTCTCAACTTGGTGGTGACTTATTATTTTCAGATTATCCTCCAAGATGCCTTGGTAAACTTCTTTAGTCATTGTTGTATTCTGATCTAAATAAATATATACATAAATATATAAGTATATAAATATTGTAATGTACTAATCACTTTCAAGTATCTATATATTATAGATCATCTAACTAACCCAACCTGGTAGCTGGAAATTTTAACTCGTATACTAATAAATTAATTTACGCACATACGCATTTCCGTATTCTATGTAGTTTGACTTTGATGGAGTGAGCATTGCTAAGAAAATGAGATGCATGGGCGGATTCAGACTGTTGGCGATTTACGTAACTTGGTTAAATAAAAATTAAACGCGAAACTACATAACTTACCTAAAATAAATTTCCTCCAACGGGGCTGTAAATGGTCCTAACTTTTTCAACCCATTTTCAACCTCGAAAGAATTATCACTCTTTCAGTTAGATTGCAACCCTTCCAAGTTATGGAAATATGTCAAATAATTTTGTAAGAATTTAGTGCCCAACCTTCCCCAAGAAGTCTAATTGTTTAGCGAATATTAAAAAATACCAAGTTTAATAACATTTCATACAAAGAACTTATCGTAACCTAAAAAACCTCTTTAAAAATGTGACGTACAAAAATCTACCACTGCTCGGAAAAGAATTGTGGAAAACGGTACACTTCATGGAGTGGATTTCACCACCATAAAATTGTAGTTCATAGCAACAACTCTAAAATAAAGTGTACCCTGTGTCGCAAGGAGATTGGAGTAAATTCGCTCCCCTCCCACATGCGGAGTGTCCATTCTTCCGTACGAAAATATGCGTATTCCTTCCCCGGGTGTATCTAAGATTGCTTGTGTTTTCGCCTCCACCCTTCGCACCCATGAAGCAACTCATCTCGACCCAAGTCCATAAATGTGTCCACTGCGGCAGTGGCAAAATTCTTTCCGGCAGTGGCACTGCCGGAAAGAATTTTTGGATAAGAAACGCTTCAAACTACACAACCTTCGACATTCTGAGCACAATTCTCCCCTCGTAAAAAAGCGGTATCCTTGCCCCTTCTGCGAGAAACGGTTCGATTCATCCACCAATGCAAACGACCATTTGATGGGGAAACATTTAAAGGAAAAACTACAAATGTCCTACCTGTGGGAAATCCTACGGTTGGCGAGTGTCGTTACAAGGCCATGTAAAAAGTCACATTCCAACCGAAAAACGGGACAAATTTGGCTGCCCCATGTGTAACAAGGTGTTCAATGTACGCTCCACTTTGGCCGTCCATGTGCGATATGTGCACTTAAAGGAGAGAAAGTTCCCTTGTGCTTGGCCAAATTGTGAGAGTAGGTACTTCCACCAGAGGAGCTTACCCAACACATTGCATCAAAACATGAGAAACTCAAAAAATTCAAGTGCGACTGTTGTTTGCAATTTTTCACGAGTAAAATGTCCCTACACAGTCACAACTTAACTTTCCATATCAGGAGGAAAAGCTCGTTCCAATGTGATTTTCCCGGATGTGGGAAAACTTTCAAGTTTTCGAATAGTTTAAAAGCCCACAAAGAGATCCATCTACCACGCAATGAACGGGCCACGTATGAATGTCCCCTCTGTGCAAAAACTATAATGACAAAGCCCTACCTTAAGAAACACCTTGCCCTGCATGACGAAAATCAAGACGATAATAAACCCTTTGAGTGTAACCTTTGCCAGAAAAAGTGTCGGACCAGGGAGCACTTAAAACTCCATTTGCGTAGCCACTTGCAAGAGAAACCGTTCAAGTGTGCCTTGTGTGAAGCTTCGTTCTGCAGCACGTCCGGTCTCGCGGTGCATCGAAGGAATCGTCACGTAGAAAAGGAACGTAGAATGTTATCCTGTTCCATGTACAAGGCCACATATTTGACGAAAAAGGCCCTAAAAGTGCACGTATCCTCGGTACACGAAGGGACCTTTTTTAACTGTCCGGTTAATTTGTGTAAATCTCAGTTCGGTTCGGTAACAAGGCTCGAATCGCACTTGAAAACAGCCCATGGTTCAATCGTCCCCTGTCCTCGGTGTGGGAAACATGTAAAGGAATATTATCTACAAAAATTTCACGTGTCGAGCTGGTGTGGATGTTGGCAGTCTGGAGAGGATTCCATGCCCGGTGGAGACTTGTGGGAAAACTTTTCTTCAAGGAAACAACTACGTCGAGAGACATGTAAGGTTGCACCATTCAGAAAACCCACCCGTGGTGAAGGTGTACTCGTTGGAGTGTCCATTTTGTAAGAAACCTTGTCCTTCGCGGAGCTGTTTGGAGGACCATGTCCGGACACATACGGGGGAAAAAGTTTAATTCAGACAGAAACCTTGTGTTTCATCAGGTACATATTTACATACGGGGATATTTACATATGTAGTTATTCAGTGCGCAGGAATATGAGCACAATTTTGTACCGGATATTTCTGTCCACACAAATGAAGTCACTTTAAGTTGGATTGTATCATTTTTTGATAGGACGCCCGTAGTCTGGCCTATTATTTTTTGCAATGGCGTCCTCCCTTGGCTTCAACCTGTGTATGTAAACACATATTTAGCTCCAGCTTTGTTCTCAACTTTTTGGCATTATTTTTAAATTGTTAAAACTTTAGTGGGGAAACGGGTACTTGGGTTGGAAAATTTCGTACAGAAACAAATGTCCAATTTACAGTATAAAACTTAATCAAATTTGTTCCCACTTAAAGTTTAAAAGACGAACAGAATACAAACAAATTCAGAAACATATCATAGGCAAATCTTGAAAACGAAAAGGGCTTCACAGGCTTGGGTCGATATAACAAATATGTAAAACGAAATCATACGAAATGATGCAATCCTCCCTTAATGGCAATGATAATTCCGAGAAGTCGTGTTGAAATTTTCCGTGACATCACATCCGAAATTGGGCTGATTAGGATGGGATCGTTTATTTTCTGTTCTGAAATTCGATCAGAGTGATCGAAAGTTCTCATAATCCGGTCAGGATCGATGCAACGATTTTAAAATCGATCCTTCGGATTGCCACTCGTAATTATACCCACTGCTAAATATCAAAATTACCACCACTCAGGATTGATCCTCAGATCCTCAGAATGCTTCCAGCCCAATTAAATACACCCCAAATGTCGGTCATGGTTTAATAAAATTTGTGTTTGGAGTGTACACAATTATTTAGTAAATAATATAATAAATTTCATACATTTTACAGAATGTTAAGCACATCAGGAACTACGCAGTGAATAGCATGTCTCAAAAACTGTCAGACTAAAGGAGCCATGAAAACGCATATGGAAAATGTCCATGGGAAGGATGCTTTTTCCAGAAGCAGTGGGCTTGGTGGATTTCACTGCAGAAATATAGTAAAATGCCATACATTAGGTATAAAACTTTTACATATACATATTAAAAATTATGATTAATAATATCCAATCCTTCGTATAAGTTGATAACATCAATATCTTATCCCTTATGGGTTAAATTATGTCGCACTGCAATAAACCCTGACTCATCCAAATTTTGCCCCTTCTCATTACTACCATCCAAATATGTTCATATATGTACATATAGTTTTAACTTGTACTATATTAACATTATACACTTGTTTGGAGTAAATGTGAAACGTTTTCTCCTGAACCCGGACAGATATAAGTAGCCACAGCAATGCCACAATGCCTATACAGTCCATAGTTAAGCATTGTTATTGCTTAACTAGGGACTGTATGCAACTAACTTAACATGTGTGGAGAAATGTATAGGCATCGCGGTATTGCTATGGTTCCTCGTATCTGTCCGGGTTCAGGGGAAAACGTTTCATATTTATTGCAATAACTTCCACTCGTAGTTTACACTCATTCCATTCGTCCATCTGGTTTGATCAACTTATCGCTAAATTATTTTTCTGAAATAAAATGTTCAATTTTCAAGGCATGGAGGCAGCAATGCTGCAAATGGGGCTAGCCACATATTCGGATACAACAACATTTACAGACATGCTTAAAGACGAGGATCGGGTGGGTGAATTAAAAATTTTATAAATTACTTTTTATCACAATACCACTTTTTTAATTTCTGGGTATTATTATTGACATAAATTTTCAGAATGAAAAGTATTTGAAAGCAATTAAAATCGCTGTTGAAAGGAAACAAGTTGAAAATAAGAAATCTATCGTTCTCGATCTTGGGTGTGGAACAGGACTTCTCACAATGATGGCCTTATCTGCTGGAGCTGATTTCGTCTACGCTTGTGACGTATTAATCTATTACTTAATTTTCCATACACAATTGAAATCATAATGAATTAACGCGATTTTTAATTTGGTGGCAGGAATTCCCTCACAATATTTCATGTTGCAAGAAAGTGCTTCACACGAATGGAATGGATAATAAACGAGTTAAATTGATTGCAAAAAATTCGAAACAAATTACAGTCGGTCATAATCTGGACATGTCTAGAAAAGCAAACATTCTGGTGACTGAAATATTTGACACGGAATTAATTGGTGAGGGATGCATTGCAAGTTTGAATCATGCAAAGGCACATCTTTTGACGGTAATGGAGCTATTGTTAACAATTGTGATATCTTTATACTCTTAGCAAAGCGGTGCTAATCGTACCCGAATTGTGCGCATATATGACTTTACCAAATTGTGATAATATTTCATACACACATCGGTGATTTTTTACATACACCAAATAATAACAATTTCTCACCATGCAGTGAAAGTTTATAAACATTTATTAACATTAGAAAGATTTATCACCGTACGAGGAAAAACATCATCACAGTGTAGTGAAGTCATACCTATGTATATGCACACCGGTTTGTTAATAACGTACTCAACAAATAATTAAATTACAGGATGATGCAATTATTATCCCTGAACGGGCAACATTATTCGCCCAAGTTGTGGATTGTCCATTAATTCGGGACCTGAGTATTTTCAAACCAATTGAAATTTCTGAAACGATGAGGATTACTTTCCCAGAAACAATTACAAATTGTTCCTCGAAAACTAATGCAGATCAAGGGCTGGATTTGATCGAACTTGCTCCCGGTGTGGATTTCAGGAAGATTTCGCTTCCGCTATCTACATTCCAGTAAGATTATATTTGTAATTAATTACAGATCATCAGTTCTCTTTGAAATCTTCTACATGATGTTAAGTCGACGTTTCCGTCGGTTTCTGCGACTCTAATGAAAGTACAACAAATTATTTTCTCTGTAGGTACGACTGGGCCACCTCCGAAAAAATCCCAGAAGATTTTGATACCACGAAAACTGAATTCGTGGTTAATTCCACGGCAGAGGCTAATGCTGTTTTCACTTGGTGGGAAATGCAGTTGATTACCGATGAAGAAGTGGCCGAAGAAGATTTAATTATTTCTTGTAAACCACGCTGGGCACGAGGAGCACCAACCTACGAATGGCGATTCCATTGGCAACAATCGGCCTACTATGGATTCAAGCCGGTCCCGGTACGAGAAGGAAATACGTGCTACTTAGAATCCTACCGCGGAAAGGATATGCGTAATAAAGATGGCTACTGGTTCAAAATAACCCAAGATCCAAGATCAGAATTTTTAGTAGACGTGTCCGATCCCTTCCAAAAAATCAAAGTCAATGCTTGTCTCTGCTATTTCCACGATGCCACGTCTCCATATCACTTTGCCATGCAGCATGATCCAATTCGGACGGAATTGTATGTAAAACTATTGCGAAAATGTATCATTCCGGATGTCTCGATTTGTCTCTGCTTATCGGAATCTTCAATAATCCTTCCCCTCTTGGCAGTTGCAATGGGAGCAAAGATAGTTTATATCGAGGAACAAGAGCAGTATGGGAAACTTTCTTCACTGGATTTAATAACGAGCCTTTTGATGCATAACAATTTGCCACTAAGGGTGCACAGTTTGGATATCCAGGACAAAAATGGAATTCCTGGGAATAAGGTAATCACTATGATTGCCTTAAGAATGTCAAATGGTTGTACTTATTCTCAAAAGACTTAATTTCAGGTGATGCTTAATTTTAAAAAGACGTTAGTTCACAAGAATAACATTTAGCTTGCGCCTTTTTAAAATTAAGCGTCGACAATTAAATTTTTGTGAATTCGTACGACGTAATGGTAATTCGCAAAATGTTTAGGTACAAATAGTATTGGGCGACCCATTCTACCGTGAAAAGCTGGACAACTATTTACAAAATCATGTGCCACCACTGGGACAGCGGTATTCACCTTGGCACCATCTCACCTTTTGGCGGCGGCTAAATCAAATCCCACCTAATTTGCTTAATGCTAATTGCATAATTCTTCCAAATGTGGTTAAGATCAAGGGACTTGCTGTAAACTTTGACAATTTCTCGAGACCATTTACCCCGCTAGCGGCAAGTGTTTGCGGGGGTCGATATGATTTGCAGGATTTCACAAAGATGATAGCGGTACTAATACCTTTAAAATATTATAAGTGCAATTCAAATATTTTACCCATTAATTTCTTAATGTTTTCCAATAGCCGCCACCTAGCACGAGTAACCCGAGGGTTGGTTACCACACTTTGTGGGAGCATTCCAGCAAAGCTTCAAGCGAGGTTTTCAATTTACTTGAAATTGACTTTACGTCGAAACCGAATAATTTGGAGTTCTCAAAAAATATCAAGTTACATACCAATGCAAATGCCGTTGTTTTCTGGTGCGAGTGGAAATTTGGGAAAGATGATGACAATCATAATAATGTCTTATCAACCGGTCTTCTTGGTGACGTTGGGATTGGGTCAAAACCTAAATGGTATATGAATCAGGCACAGGCAGTAATCTTTAGCAAAACAACGTGGTCGGAGCGATTGGACTTGAATATTGAGCTGAATATGCTTGACGCCAGGAGCAGCCCCAATTTGAGTTTTTCTGTTAGAGGATGATACCACTAAGGAACTGCGTTTCGATTAAGATTAATATATTAATAGGATTTATATTAATTATAATATAACGTTTTACTTCTGCAAATCAAGCATCATAATTCTGTTTGGAAGTAATAAATTATTATGACAAAATTATGACAATAAACGTAGATATTTATAATGCTTATACGGGATAAGTCTCTACCGCTGGTCGCGTTAAGGCCCCAACAGACGTTTTACTTGTATTTAGTGACCATAGTAATTGAACTGAAAGATACAAGGTGTAAAGATTATGTTTGACGAAGTGATGTGACGCCAAAGTTTTGCAAAACCAATCTAGTACAAGTACATAGGTTCACATCTGCTGCTTTAATTAATTCTGAGCTGTGGCTACTAATATATTTGCCATAATTGAGCGAACCATTATCACAATTATAAAATGAGAATATCCTCCAAGATCTGGATGTAATTAAACATCACAACACGGGAAACCTGTAACTGAACAACTTAATCAAATCCAACATCCAATTCCAAAAAACATTTTACTTCATGTTACCTTGATTACCTCCACATGTTGACAAATTGGCCCAATGTGGTCTAAAAAAGGTCACCATTGGGTGTAGCATACTATCAAAATTCCGATAGAGCCATGTGTGTACACAAATCAACGCTGCTTTGCTTTGAGTTTTTATTTTTCGATCTACCAAAAGTTAACACAGCAAGAGATGGGAGCATACATAGCATTTTATTCAATAAAAACTCAAGAATTTCATCCCGCTCTAAAAGCTCAGGGGGAGGTCCCAGACCCCATAAACCATATATATTCTGAATCCTCTCGAAGTCACCTTTCCAACCACATCCCATTTATGGGGCACCGTGAGACTTAAAAGAGTCAGCCTATTTTCTGCCAGTAATTGCACTCTCCGTGCCATAGTGGCGTTACAGCCATTTTAATATCGGATGTTTTGGCTGAAAAAATATTTGAAATGCCTGCAACGGCTTAAATTCGCGCATTATCGGAAAAGAAATAATACGGGTGCGCTTATTTTTTTTATGAGGAAACTAAAATTGGTTGCACTTAAATCCGCGTGTTCCACTTCACGGCTTCGCATTGTAAGTAGATTATAAATCTCCTTGTAGCCGCCATCAGTGACCACTATAGAATTCGCATTTCCCCCTTCCTCCAAAGCTTTTTCAGTTAATTTCATGTACATGCATGGTGGATAAAATTAATTTATAAAGTTTGACAAACACAATTGCTTTTTCCGCGTTTGTACGTGATCCACTTTCAGTATCAAATGTCTGCCCGTGTACGTACGTGCTTCGATTCAGGTTGACGAAAGAAACCAATAAAGTACGAGTACTCGTATATTGCAGTCGACCTTTCTTATTGTAGGTGAAAAATTTGCCTTTCGTACAATATTAAAATGGAGCTTATGTCTTTACTGTCTATACTCAAAAGTAGATACATGCGAAGTTCACCTCGTTTTGAGAATATCCAGAATAATGTGTACACAGAAGGGCTTTTCCGTCCTGAAAGCCCTATCTAACGCTATTGACACACTACCCGATCGTATTGTAAAACTTACCCTTGTCTCACTTTTCCCACTGTCCATGTTAATTCAACTCTTACTATTAAGAACATTCCTGTTTTCGAATTCACAAATCGTCACGTTATAATTCGGTATAGCGTGTCCAGGATATAAAACGACGCTCAAATTATTTATCTTGACTTTAGACTCGTCGTAAAAAATTGCCATATATTTCTATCCCTCACCCGCGTTATTCATAAAGGCCCACCAAATTCGGGTAAATTCGGCCGGGAAACTTGGTTTAGTTGTTTAAGGTATTGCAATATTTCTTGGGTTACATAAACCATCAAATTTTCTGCAGTGTTTCCCCGTCATTTTTTTCATATGCATGTTGTTAACTTGAATATAACAATCAGCACATCCAATTAAATATTAACTAGGCTATAGCCATGTAGAACACGGGGTCCATTTTATCGTGAATATAATTGAATGCATGAATAAGATCGTGATTCATGTTTGAGTGGCAACTGAATGGTAACCGAATGACCAACTCCTAACATATGTAACGACCAAGACAGTGACCAGAGTATGTAAGGCTCGGGTCTCCTGCTAGCGTTCAGGCCTACCCGTCACGAAAAACATGGTCAGCATTTTAAGGTTGAACGATTGGTTGGAGGTTACAGACCCGGTTTATTTTGGATATTAGTTTATAATTACATAGTTGGGCAAGTTTTCTTCAACTTATTAAGCTGAATGCGTTTACAAACAATTCTCGTAGTTGGTGGTAAAGGAGTATGAAATAAAACTAACCTTTTAAAGAAAAGTATGGATTTTTGATTTCATTTAAACTACTGCATTATTTCCCTAAAACTTATTCATAATATATCAAAGCTTAAACCTTTCAACCCTTTCAACCCTTTCAACCCTTAAAATTAAAAATAGACCATTTGGCCGTTGCTCTGAAAATACAACTCTACCAACTTAGACCACTCACTCGACTCGCATACATATCTTGTCAGGGACGGTAAAACATACTTTCTGTATTCCAATAGGATGAAAGCATCGAGTCACACACATCCATTTCCATTCTTACAGATTCATACAGCTACAATGTCATTGTTAAAAGTTAAATTTGCACTATTTACATTCATTCCAGTATTCCTCACATTTCAGTACTCTCACTCTATGAAGCATTTTGTTGGGACGTGTCCATCTCCTGTGCCCGTGCAAAACTTAAACCAGACTGAGGTAGCCGGACAAATACTACCATATAAATACGAACAATTCAATGCTTGAAAATTTTTACGATTCACAGTTTTCCGGAATTTGGTATTCCATCCAGTATCCAGAAGTACCCTTTCGATAACTATCCAAACTTCACTTGTGAAGAATTCGACTATAAGTTGCCTACCATGGATGGGACATGGATCAGGGATAACTGTCGAACGGAAAAGTTGGACAAAACAGTTATCATCCAATTATGAATTGTGTGACGTAACCATTGTTTTTTAACAATCTGTAACAATCGGGGGTCGATTATGTACATCTACTCAATATTAATGGGTGGCAGGAAACAAAGTGTTTCCAGCATAGCAAAAAATATTGAGTAAAATTCTGCTGGAAACAACAAAAATTAGCCAATGTTGTATAAATTTTACTCAAGGTTGTGTAAACTTCATACATAATTGGGAAAATTTCGGCCAACTCACAAGGTATGGTCCTCGACTGTAACCCTAGTTCAGGGTACCCACTATGTTTTTTAGAATCTACTTGGACCCTATATAAAGGATCCATTCAAATTTACGTGTAAAACTCATATTTGGCGAATTGGCGTGGCTCCAAATTCGCCAAATTCGCATGATTTTACTTTTAAAACCGCCATAACTTTTGAAATCCTGAACGGATTTTAAAATTTTTTGGTTAAAAATGATCACAAAGAGTTATATTTTAATACAAAAATAATAATCCATTTTTGCAAATTTTTTGCAAATTTTCGAAATTTCGCTGGACGAGGGGTCGCTCAGAAAAAGTTTCAAAATAACTCAAAAATTTAAATTTTCTATGTTGTATTTATTTCTTGAAACTCCCATTTTTCTGATCATTTTGAGCCAAAAATTTTAAAAATCGCGCGGAAACTTCAAAAGTTATTGAACTTTGAAAATGGTCAAAAATCCTGATTTTTAAGTTTGGCGCCACGACAATTCGCCAAATATGAGTTTTACACGGAAATTTGAATGGATCCTTTATGTGGGGTCCAAGTAGATTCTAAAAAACATAGTGGGTACCCTGAACTAGGGTTACAGTCGAGGACAATACCTTGTCAGTTGTACAAATGGCAATTTCCTAAACTTAAATAAAATGTGGGCAGTTTTTTTTAGTGTGAAACTATGGTTTGTACAATTTGGAGTTGATGTCATAACCTACCTAATATTGGAGATCGTCAATAAATTGGGAAAATACTTTGTTAAATATAGATCCGGACGAATATCTTCAAATTCCGCCGAAGTGACATTTCTAAGCCGTGACGGCAGCGCGTATTTGCATCAGGATTACTGGTATCTTTACACGAGAGCGGTGGAAGCACGAAAAGCGTTTGGTTGTGGGTCTGGGTTCGCGAAAACGGGTAATTAACTATCGTTAGAAATATGTTGGACTATGTCCCTTATTGTAATTAAAAGCGGATTTATTTATGTTTGCAGAAACTTCTCATAACTCCTTTTATGTATTGGGAACAGACTACTTGAATTATGCAGTTTTTTGGGGATGTCGTCAAAGGGGGGTTCAAATTACCGTGAGAGTTGCACCACCACACATTCTATTGATACCAGGTTGCGTAATTATATTTACATATTTTCACTATATTACAGAGAACCTGTTGATTATGTCAAGGAATTTGTCCATCGGGAATTCTTGTTTCACTTCCAACAAAGTCCAACAGTCTTTAATCAAATAAAATTAGTAAAAGTGTTAACCGTCCGCCCGTAAAAACTATATTTTCTTGTTGCTCTGATACTTTGATCAAGTTTTGATTAGCTCACGCCTTTACATATTAGTTTGGCAAAGTCACAAAGTACTGGGGATGTAAATGGATAGGGCATTTAATTATTATATTTATTATATTGATAACTTCACTTTATTCCCCACCATAATCTTAACACCTCCAGAAGAATGCAAAAATTGTATGGATTGTTAATATCAGTTAATCTTACTATAAAAGGGGACCGACATAAATTACGTCGCGTAAAATATAATTTTTTGAACCTACAGGCTCTTCGCTTTAATTGAAGAAAATGCACCGAAGCACCTTAATCTTCTGAACGTAGATTACCCCTTTTCATGTTTCCGTTACATAGTAGTCCAGACCTAATGACGGCTTGAAAAGTATCCTGCTTTATATAGTATCTACAGAGGTAAAAACGTTTGTACAAGAAAATATGTTTCGACCAGTCAAAAGTCAAAAGTATTTGAAGTATCCATGAATTAACCAATTTATTTAATTGATAGGATTTAATTTTATTTATTTATTGCATAAACTCATCGCGATGAAGATAAACATAATCTGCATGAACTTAATTACTATATTAAAAATAATTTGGCATTCGCAAATAATGTATGGCCAGAATTCCATCTTGC